TCAAATTTTGAAAGCATTTTTCTTTTGACCATTTTTCGATAGTTTGGATTTTACGTTGTCAATCCATTTTCCGTTTGGAGAGTATGGAAGCTTTCTTCTCGTAATACAAAGCTTGCTTATACAGAATTCTGGAGATAGGAGACAGTTGTGAACTCTTATGTACACCAACATTTTTCAACAAACCATGTTCTGAAAAAACGGCAAATAAAAACTGATATTACATTAACTCATTAATATTACATACTGCGTGCTACAGGATCATTTAACCTTATTTGAGAATTTTCAGATGTCTGACGGTACTGAATTGCACCCAATTCATTATTTTCATCACCTAAAATAGAAATACAGCTAAATGTGATACTAAAATATGCTTTTTATGAAAATTAAAATACATGAATGTTGACTACTTAAACTCTGTATTCATGAAAATATACTTACCAAAATGTACAAAGGTAGAACTGGTTGATGGACCAGGATTATTTGGTGTTGACATAAATATACGGCCATCAGGTTTAATTTTGCTGTGGTTTAACTATATAACTTTTTATTTGGCAGACAATAAACAAACGTATTAACATATGACAAACGTCAAAAGTACATAAACAAGGGTCAAAATCAAAACAAAATGATACCTGCATTACCTGCGTTTGAAATCACAAAAACTAAATAGCACCATCTTACGATATGGAAGCCGAAGTTACAGTGGAATGTTAGGTATGCAAATGGTATAGGTTGTTGTATATCAGATTTCATTCTATGTTAATATTCCATTTTCTATGGTATTACTGCACACTGCACAATAATTCAAACGATCAGCTGTATAACAAAGGAAGCTACGACACGTGAAAAATCGTCGTTAGTCCAGTTTAAACTTTTCAGCGTCGTCGACACAATACGATAGATTCAACCATCGTTAGCATATAGAGGGGAAGTTCGTTTCAGCATCTCTGCGTCTGCATAAAATGGAACCTTCACACAGTGTAACATATAAATTAGATCGAGTACAAAAATGTGCATTCGATACGAATTTGATAAATATTTAATTAATCTATAGAGAAAATCTAAGATATAACTTCCTTTGAGTACTGGTAACGCTCGTCATAATAAAAGAAAAAGTCCTTGTTAAACATATCCTCCAAAATACGTTCTAAGGGCGTTACATCTTTTAGATGAGAAATGGTTGTAAAAATTCATAATTTCGAAATTTCGCCATATACAAATATTATTTTAATGTAGGTATTTATTTTCAAAACGTGTTAAATTTAAAATTCATTCGGAAGAGGTAGTTTACATGAACGTGCGTTAATCAATCCATCATAACTTATTTTCCCTTTTTCAGAAGTATGTTAAAATTTCAGTTTCGGAGAACTAAAAAAGACTGGTATTACTAGGGGTTTACGATAATTGTATCGGAGTGGTCGGAACAAGAAATGCCTTACAAATATTCACTCTGATGATTCGATCCCATTACGAAAATGCAAACTCAATGGTCAGATATAGAAAATCTGAGCGCTCTAGTCGCCTTTGCTTATTTGTCAGATTAAAGAATGATCTGAAATTAACGCATGCGTGTTATTTATAGGTATAATAAAAAAATTTAAAACATGTTTCGTTATGTTACAAAAAAAATATTGTTTTGTTGGCTGTTGACTGTCAACTTCGTTTCGTTCTCTTCAGTTGTCTTGTTAGAAAAAAAATAAAAATGGCAAAATGTCAAATAACAATTTAGATATGGTAGATGTAGATGAATATTATTACCGTAGTGGTACATCATACAGGTACCACTTTTCTCATTTATTTGTAGAATTATTGCATGTACCTAGATGGTGATAGAGGTTAGATTAGATCGGTTGCGACTATGTGCTTACGAAAATAGTCAATTTAAAAGAGTAAGCAGCTGCTTTCTGATCAGAGAAAGCAGCGCTCGGATCAGTTGGTCAAATATATTTTCCGTAAACCCCTACTGTTTCAGATCGATAAACTGGATCAATTTTCTGTGATTTCAAAAATTAAAACAGTTATGACGGAAAACATCACCCACTACAACTACACTACACTAAAACTACAATCTTTTGATATTTATATGGATTTTATTTAATCACAATCAAATTTTACATAAGATTTAACACAGGTTTAAAATTTTTCATTAAATACCTACCTATACTTTATTAATTGTAACACTGTGGCGAAATAAATGTTAACCCTTTATAGCCCGAGGGCCAGCGACCTTTTTTGATGACCAAAAGAGCAAAAGCTGAAAAGTTTTCCTACGCTTCATTTGGTGTCACTAGTAAGAGAATCGACCTCCAGCTCACGCACTTCCGGGGGGTATAGTTGCGGCAGCCTCCCAAACACGTAAAATAATAAAATAAAAAAACTAATACCGCAAAAGCTGAGACTTTGTCTACAAGTTAATTATGTTATAAACAAAATAAAAAACGCAATCCGCTGACTAGAGTGGGGGGTTATGCCTCAGCTTTTCACCTAAACAAGTCAAAAATATGCGCTAGGTAAACTGATCCCGCAAAAGCTGAAATTTGGTAAAGTAATAGTCAACTTAACCAGTTATACGAAAAAAATGGTCCGCTGAAGTTTTTGTGGTGTATAAGTGCTCAGCTGACGAGTTGAAGGCGCAGCACATCGCTATACGCGCGGGCGCGTTGCATCTTTAACTTTATCAGCTGAGCACTTTTCCCTCACTAAATATAAAGCTGAGTATTTTTTTCATTTAACTTATTAAATTAGCTATTGTATTAACAAATTTCAGCTTTTGCGGTATGAGATATCTATAATTTTTCCATTTTTTAAGTCTTAGTAGTAATTATATAAAAATATACAACTTTTTTCGAATATTTATTTACAATAAACGATTTCACGAGTTTTTCAATTTAAAGAGTTTTAATAAATAAATATTCACATTTAAATACTTATGTATACATAACATAAAATTGAACTGCATCAACATTTGCTGCGGACAACGTACATTGCAAATATTTGGGCACACGCTCATCTTCAGATCCCAACAGAATTATATCCGACTGATTTCGGCTGGGAAGAGAAGGGGGACAAATTTATTTTCAAATGGTTCGAGGGTGAACAGCTGCCCTCTTCCCTTGGAGATATAATTATCGAGGATGAACAAAGAAATAGTACAGGTTAGAATTATACTAATATATTTCGCTCTATAATAAAATTTCATTATTTAAGTGTAAATTTTTGATTATTTAATTTACATATATGTAAAATACAATTTAAAAATATTTAAAAATATTCGTACTATATGTAATTATTTTTTATAATTAACGTTTTTTTTATAATATAACATAAAACACACCACAGAAATGAGACAACCCCCAAATCCAAAGCCAGAGGCTGTGCGGAAGGGGGTTACACTTGAAAAAACGCGGACAAACACCCTTTATCCATCGACATTGCCAGTGCCGACACCAGGGATCGAACCCGGACCAGAATAGGAAGTCTGGCCGAGAAATGCCTGCCACGGCATGCTCGACCGACTTCGCTACCGTGGTTGTTATTATTACCATTATTATTATATATTTACAGATGATGAGGAAGAAATGGCAGGAATCGACATTGACTCCAGCGACAATGAGTTTGAGGGTGATGAATCGGAAGATGAAATAGATTAAATTTTTTCATACATAACGTTTACTGTAAATAAATATTCGAAAAAAAGTTGAATATTTTTATATAATTACTACTAAGACTTAAAAAATGGAAAAATTATAGATATCTCATACCGCAAAAGCTGAAACTTGTTACTACAATAGCTAATTTAATAAGTTAAATAAAAAAATACTCAGCTTTATATTTAGTGAGGGAAAAGTGCTCAGCTGATAAAGTTAAAGATGCAACGCGCCCGCGCGTATAGCGATGTGCTGCGCCTTCAATTCGTCAGCTGAGCACTTATACACCACAAAAACTTCAGCAGGCCATTTTTTTCGTATAACTGGTTAAGTTGACTATTACTTTACCAAATTTCAGCTTTTGCGGTATCAGTTTACCTAGCGCATATTTTTGACTTGTTTAGGTGAAAAGCTGAGGCATAACCCCCGACTCTAAAGTCAGCGGATTGCGTTTTTTCCTTTTGTTCATAACATAATTAACTTGTCGACAAAGTCTCAGCTTTTGCGGTATTAGTTTCTTTATTTTATTATTTTACGTGTTTGGGAGGCTGCCGCAGCTACACCCCCCGGAACTGCGCGAGCTGGAGGTCGATTTACTTACTAGTGATACCAAATGAAGCGTAGGAAAAATTGTCAGCTTTTGCCAAATGACTAAATCAAAACGACTGCTGGCTCTCGGGCTATTAATTTACTATTTAAGTTTGGACAGATTACAGGAACTTTTTCTGCTTTTTTTGGCAGGTTAAGAGGTTTTGACATTTGAATCTTTCTACTAAAACTCTAAAAGAAGTTAAAATTCAAAACATTTTAAATAAGATATTGGCAGGATTATTAATGAAAATATTAAACTTTAATATTTTTTCAGTTCCATTAGAATTACCAATTTTAACAAAGGAGTTGTTCAATAAATGGTACTCGCTAAAGTCATATTATTTAGCTATTTCGTTAGCTGATATTCCTGTACAGGTAACAACAAAATTAAATATTTTTTATTTTTTGTTAGATACCTCAAAATAAAAAAAATACAAGACATGTTTTCTTTTAGATGGTGGCTACATTAATATACGCATTGGTTACTTATTTTCTCACAACACAACCCCTAGATGCATATAGAATAATTTTGTTCTTGGTTATGTGTATATTAATTTCTTTAGTTGCTCAAAGTTGGGGATTATTGATTGGAGCTTGTATGGATATAAAGGTAAGAATTATTACTGTATTACAAATTCAAATAAAGTGGCACAAATGTTTATCATTTAGGAACAGTGAAAAAATTACTACAATATATTTAAAATTATATTTTTAATGAAATTATTTCTCTTTATATATTTTTTCCATAAAACAAGTAGGTAACTGGCTTTGCGTAAAAATTAACAGAAAGCTTTCAGAGAAATATACTTACCTAAAAAACTGAATGAAAATAATTGTTTATAAATTTAATGTTTTTTTTGTATTTACTTAGTTCGGTCCCTGGAACAAATTTAATAAGTCAAATGTGTATTATTCTTGTATAACAAGCTTCAAATTTAGTTATTTTTTTGTACCTATTACACAGAAGTTAGATATTATAAAAGAATGATGTCTGTTGATAATTGAAGTGCAGAATTATTAGCATATGGTTTTATAAAAACTAAATGTAGGAATTAATTCTGTGTCAACTTTTGTGAAGCTTACGTATTTGAAATATAAAAAAATTGTATCAAAAACTTTGAAGACTTGTTATTCCGGATTAAGGACATCAACACTACATTTTTTCTTATTTTGACTTGGAGAATATCCCCTTAAAATGTATGAAATGAAAAAAATATATATAATATCATAGAGATACCTCCTTATTTTTAACTTATATTCTTTTCTCTTCCAGACTGGTGTAATATTTGGTCCTTTTTGCTTCTTGCCCTTCACAATATTCTCTGGCTTCTTTGTCCAGTTAAATGATTCCCATCCATACATACGTTGGCTTTTCCATATATCTTTTCTGAAATATGGATTTGAAGGACTGGTCTTATCAGTGCTTGGTTACGATAGAGGCAAATTGCCTTGCAATGCAGATTACTGTCATTTTGTCTATCCAGAGAAGTTTTTGGATCAGATGGACATGGAGCATGCCAGTTATTCCCAGGCTGTGATTTTTCTGATAAGTCTGATTACACTTATCAGGTTTGTTGCTTATTTTGCACTAAGTATTCAAATAAAAAGTAATCGTACTAGAAGAAGATAACATAGGGAATGGCAACACTGAGTTTGCTCTGAAAATTCCAAAGGGACTGCTTTTATAAAGCAGCACTACTATGTGTTCATAACGATTACGAAATGTGATTTTTAAGTTTAGGTGACAGAATGATTGTGTGTGATTTTTAGATATAAATATTTTTTAAATGGAAATAAAAGTTCAGTTACATAACAGTTTTTCATTTAACAATTTGTTCAAATGTAAAGTTTTAGATTTCTTAAATATATAGAAGTAGATTTTAGATTTAGATTACTTAGATGTAAAATGTGGAAATTTTGCAAAAAATTAATGCAATTCCCGACATAAAATGAGTAAAATTTTTAGCGAAATTGATACAACAAAAGTTATAAATGATATACAGGGTGTCCCAAAAGTGACGCCCGTCCTTATGGGTTTTGATTAAGGGGACAAAAACAAATCGAAAATCAAGAGTGGAAAACATTTGGGCTGGGTTATTAAATATTTATGTAGTTCAAAGCTGTATTTGTCTGCAGCTGTATGTTTTTAAATTAAAACTTACCATTGCCATTGCTGCATAACGTTCCGTTAGCAGTTAGACTAAATTATTGGTGTCAACATGATGGAGTTCCATCACATTATGATTTACGAATATAAAATTATCTGAATCAAAACTTCCGAGACAGATGGATTGGAAGAGGTGGACCATGGCCTCTTGGATCACCAAATCTGAATCCCCTAGATTTTTCTTTTGGGGTTATTTAAAAGAACAGATTTATAGTCCGTGTATAACTGTCGCGTTAATAGACCAAAAGATGCTACAAAGAGTTCATGCTTCAATGTTGAATCGTGATAATCTTTGTCCTGAAGTAGAAGGCAACTTATTTGAACAGCTTTTGTAAAAACAATTTCTATTATTTAAGCACATTATGGTTTTAGTTTATGTTTTATTATAAAAATGTTTTTCTCTATCCTTTTCAGGTTAAAATAATTCCTTACACCCAGGTCCAACCAACAATCGAAAACTATACTTATCTACTATTGGTTATAAATTATATGTCTTGGTTCCCATAAGCACAGACCTCAGTTTTGAAACAAAAAAATAGATTTTCACTTAGTTTTTTTTAATACTTTTTTGAATAACTCGACAACGGAAAACAATCGGAAAATTTTCCACTTGACTTTCAATTCGTTTTTGTCTCCTTAATCAAATCCTAGAAGGACGGGCGTCACTTTTGGGACACCCTGTATACAAAAGTCAACGTCTACTAAGATATAGTCCTGTATGAGATGTTACGAAATTATTAATATTATTCTCATCTAATTTTGAAACGGTTAAGATATCAGCTTGTCAGTGACTGTATCTTTATTTATTTGACTGATATACGAGAATACTTAAGAAATTTTTTTTGGAGCCTCCATCCCTCTGACTTCATTATAACTTTTTTATGTGTTTGTTGATACAAAATTTATTTTTAAAGATATTTATGACACCTGAAATTTTAATATTTGCAATGAATTTTGCATAAAACAGGAAAACCTCCAGCAAATCCATTGAAATAATGGTGTTTGAAAATTTTATATCTGAAAGAATCATTTTTTACTTGAAAATAATAAAAAAGTTTATCAGAACATAGTTCCCAAAATACTTACTAGGTACTTAAAAATTATTTCGGGTTTTATTTTGTATATAAAATAACTGTAGTCTTAGGAAGAGTTTTGGGAAATGTGTCTTATATACATTTTTTCTGATTTTCATAGAATTGTTCCTTCAAAAATATAAAAGCGAAATTCAAACACATCAAAATTGTCCTCAAATAAATAAAGATCCATACTAACTAAGAAATCTCTACAAAGAAACATACATTCTATTATTGCTTGCACATATTATACAGGGTGACTCAGAACTTATCCAAAAAAAAATTCTAGATGTACAGGGGACCCTTACAAATACAATTTTGTAAAGAAAAAATCAAAAAGGGCAGTTCGAAAATGATTTAAAAATACACTTCTGCACGGCACTGAAAACTGGTCCACTGTAAAACCTGACCGCGCACAATGCGACCGGCATAGCGGTGTGATAAAAACTGACAAAAAACTTTCGCAAGGAAAGAAATAGAATTTTATAGCACCTATTTTATATCGGCAAATTCAACAGCTTTTGTCTTTATTGTTATTATTAATTAATAAAATTAATTTGTTTTTAAATAATAAAATCATTTGACATACCCATGTTACAACAATTGTTCAAAATTTTATCCACCAACATGTAAACACATTTGGGTCCGTCTTACTCAGTTTCCACGAACTAACACAAATGCTGTCTTGTTTCACTATAACACAAATGCTTCACCATAATACAAATGTTGTTGTGCTTCACCATAAATTAAAACGAAATCCATCAACTCCGAGTAGCTATACAAGCCAACCATTTTTGACACTAACTACTAAAAAACTATTTTAAACACCACAGATAACAGGTAAACACTATCGCAACGACGATTGCAAAATCGGATTTCAGTATTCGGAGTCGCTGAAGCCTCGTGGCTCTCCACGCGTATTGCGAATGACGCTAGAGACTACAGTTGTCCAACTATGTAATGGTTGAATGTACTATAACTTCAATAATTTTTTTCTCGGAAACCATAAGGATTTTACAATTTTTTTTACGATATTGACTCCATTTCTCATGCCGCATCTATTCCCAAATTTTTTTGGTTAATTTGTGAATCACCCTGTATATACGATTATTATAGATATTAGGTTAATTGAAATAAATTTAAAAAATTTGAAATTGTCATTTTTATTTAGTTTTGTGTTTTTTATACAGGGTGTCCGCAAATTTCACCGACAATATTTGACTGCATATTCACGACGATAAATAAAAACGATCTACGAAAAAAAAGTTAAATAAAAAGTTTTTGGTTTCTGAGTTACAGGCTTCCAAAGTTGTCAAAAACAAAACTAATTTAATTAATAACTTCATAACCCTTTTGTCGATCGCGTTAAAATTTGGCACATTTATTTGGACTATTATGGCATATTATTTCTTAAAGCTTTAGTCAAATCGATATACTGGGTGGTAGTTTTCGCCGGTTACCTCTCCCTTTTAGAGGTCAAAACTTTTACTGTGGTCGTATTTTTTTAAAACGGTAAAAAGGTCGTTTTATTTTAAAAAAATATTGTCTCTTGAGAAAAATGGCCTTATTTGCTGTATGTGTCGGTTTGCGTAGCAATGTCAATGATTTAAAACTTTGAGTTCAGTAGATGGTAGATGAAAACAAGATGTTGATTGTTGTGGCTCTCAGATAATGTCATTACGGTCGTGTTTCTTTAGAATTCTCATCACTCCACACATACAAATTATGAAAATTTACAAATCCGTTCGTTGTAAAACAAGATTTGTCGGACCTAAACTATTTTTGAAGCAAATTATTATCTTTTGCGAAGCCATTCACCAACCAGTGGCAAAATTGTAAATGTGCGTTGGGATCTAAATTTTCAAGTTCTTAAGCAGAAGTTAAATAAAATGTCCGAAGAAGTTGCTTTTTTTAAAGTTTTGTCAAAATTAGTTTTACATACATTGTCTTGATACGCGCAGACACTTCATAATTTGCATGTGTGAAGTGATGAGAATCCTAAAGAAACACGACAAAAATGACATTACCTGATAGCCACAGCAATCAACATCTTGTTTTCATCGCCTACTGAACTCGAAGTTTTAAATCCGTCACATTGCTACGCAAACCGAAACACACAGACTTGCAAATTTTTCTCAAGTATGGCTTTCTGTAGGCGATTTTCTCAAGGGACAATATTTTTTTTAATGGAACATTTTCCATGTTGCTGACAGTTTTAAAAAAAATACGACCACTGTAAAAGTTTTGATCGCTAAAAGGGAGAGGTAACCGGAGAAAACTATCACCCAGTATATCGATTTGACTAAAGCTTTAAGAAATAATACGCCAGAATAGTCCAAATAAATGTGCCAAATTTTAACGCGATTGGTAAAAAGGTTATGAAGTTATTTTAATTAAATTAGTTTTATTTTTGACAACTTTGAAAGCCTGTCACTCAAAAACCTAAAAGTTTTCTTTATTTTTTTTTTGTAAATCGTATTTATCGTCGTGAATATGCAGTCAAACGTTGTCGGTGAAATTTGCGAATACCCTGTATTTAATTTTGTTCTATTCATAAATATTAATTCCATTCACAAGGAGGGTACCTGACGAAACAAGCAGATTGTGAAAAAAAAAATTTTAAAAGATTATGTAAAGAAAATTTTCAGTCATGGGACTCTTGGGTAGGTACAAAAAAATTAAGTGCATTGTGTATAGAATTAAATTTTGGTGAATCTTTTCTATCACATGACTAGGGTTGCCATACGTCCCGATATATTGGAACTGGTACCGTTATTGGCTACTTTGTCCCGACAAGACCAAAAGTCCCGATCAATTAATTGCCTAGTCCTAAATAATACCCCGTTATCTGTGCTTGCAGCAATTTGTGCGTTTAAAGAACTTTTTAGAAATCAGTTTTTCTTCAGAAGATTGGAAGTTTAAGTTCTGTTGAAGAAAGATGGCTATATTTTTTGAAGATTACTGAACACTATGAAAAAAGATCGCAAATATTAAAATTCTCTGAATATTTGTTTGGAGTTCCGGGCCGTAACGCCACAGTAGAGACAGTTTTTTCGTCTGCTCAGTGGATATATGAAAGGAATTAGTTACTTCCAGAACTGTGGAAGCAATTTTACAATGCCAAGTGAACTATAATATGACATGTACAGGATTTTATCGGTATGCATAAAGACAAAATGAATTGCTAAAAAAGGTAAAATTATCTGAGAAATATTATGCAAGCATTTCTCTTCCGCAATCATAAGTTAAAATATTATTATTAAGAACGGAAATTGAAGTCCCGTTTCATATAACAAAGTACTACAATATTCATATATACAGATGTCGCTACAGGAAATACGTTTATAGTAAAAATGGTACGATTATTTCATTCTTTCAAATTCCGGCAAATTACACCTAAAAAAAAACGAGAAAATACCAGGTGCACGTACACGTGCTCGATAATGAGTTGTCCGGCCTATACGTCCATCCCACTCTCTTGCTATCGCATAAGTTTTGTTCTGAAAATATTTCTATTTTCTATCTTCTACATATTATTATGTACATACATATTTACAAAAAAGGAGGATGGCA